CTATAAAGATGATTTTTATCCCTGAGCCTGAGTAGGGCAAAATATAAATAATAAATAACAATAATAATATGACAGGAAGTTTCAGGATACTTGAGGAAGGACTGTTGACCACAATCTTCATCTGATCTTTTTTTTTTTGGTTTAATAACCTACCTCAAGGTAACTTCAGTAGAATTTTATTGAGCAGCTGCTTATTTTATCATTCCATTAATCCTGTTCACAAAAGGGCATTACAATATTTCTACATTGCACCTCATGCACCACTTGCACAGAGCTAAGATGCACACTCTGATTTTTCAACATCTTTGAAAAATTAGTTCCTAGCAAATAATCCCAATTTTACAGCACAGTCTGCTTGTGCAATTCTTTACACAAGATGGAAGTAAAATAATATGTAAAAGCAGTATCATTTTTTATTAAAAAGGTCACAGAAAAGCTGTATGTAAGAACATGGAAGGGCCTCAGTAGCCCTGATAGTGGGGATTTTTATGGCAAATAATCTTCAGCATAAACGACCAGTACAAGATAGTACATGGCCATTTTAAAAAGAAAATTCTTACCTGGTTTTAACGCATAGTGCATTGTTTTCCTTGTTGTATTAGTGTCATCGACCAGCTTAAAAAAAGAAATGTCTCATTTTAAATACTGAAAACTATGGGGAAAATAATTCTCTGCAACACAGGAAACAACTTGTCCTGGACCTCCAGAACTAAAGGAAGTTACAGAAAAAAAATGTTAACACCTAGAATTGGTTACCTCACATGATAATCAAGAACAAGTAGAACACCAACTCTCTTTTGGTAAAAGTTGGAATTGCCATTTTCAAAACTAATTTTGCCCATTTAAAAAAGGGCACCAATCCATTCTAATCAATATCTAATCTCAAAGGAAGGAAATAAGGGTGGGAGAAAAATGTAATGGAATAATACCATACTTACTCAAATATAGTAGGAGGGTTTTTTCCCCCAAATCAACATTGGAGTGAAAAATTCACATACAAGGAAACCTCACTAAATACATTACCTATCTTTAAGCTGCTGCAAAAAGCAGCATGTGCTCAGCAATGGAAATGACTATAAAGTTGATTAAATGCAGCCAGCACTCAGCATGACTACAAAACACATGGTCCACATGAGGTAAACATCTGATAGGAACTTTTTTTTTGGCCTTAAAAAAAAAAACAATGGGCAGGTGTTCCTTCTGGCACCTTCTGGGTTCAGGTTCAGGTTCCTTCTGGCTTCCTTCTGGGAACTGGCACTGGGCCTGGAGGTATGGCAATACCATGCCAGTACCGGGAGGAGCCAGAGCTAGCCCAGACACTTGGTGCCAGAAATGCTGGATCTTAGCCAAAAGGCTAAGATGCTGATGACCACAAGGATAGACTAATGTAACCCAACTGAATAGGATATATGTACTGCTCACTGGACTCAGTGGAGTCCCCTATGGTTCAGTGGTAGAATCCTTGTCTACCACACAGGAGACCTGGGTTTGATTTCCAGACACTTATACAACTACAGCCATGGAGGCACCAAACATCTGGACTCAGTCTAGTCTTTGGATTCTGTCTCAGTGGCCTAAAGGGAGGATGAAGGGTCTGGGCAACTTCCACTCCTTCAGGAATTCCTGCCCAGGCATATGCATCCAAGGTCTGGGTGGCCCTCATGCATACACCATGATCCAGAAGGATTGATGGCTGCCACCACTGCTTTCAGTGCTGACTCTTTTTCACTACACTGACCACATTTCACTTTCCCACAACTGAGCTGCACCTTTCTTTCCCATTTTGAATGAGTATTGTTTTTTAACCATCCTTAAATGTCTGGCAAATATCACCAAATGGGGCCCCAAACAGCTTACTCAGAATCTCTCTGTTGCCCCCTCTCTCATCCTGTTGCATATGATTAGTACAGTCCCATCCTCCAGGAGATGGAGCTGGACAAGGCTGCCCTGCACCTCATCAGCATACGTTTGGGGGATCCAAGGACTCGTGACAAGAACATCTGGTTCCAGTCATGAGTGGAGGGCTAGCTAGCACATGGATCCTTTGTGGGGAGTGTCTGAAGTACACACACAAAGATCAGCAGTGCTGACCTTTGCGATCACTATAGCTTGAAATAATGTTGACTCTGCTGGTGCCCAGTCCAATGAACTGGTTAGTAAATCATAAGCCTTTTAGTTTTGGACTAATGCCACACATAGTTTCTACTATATCTAAGTAGGCACAAGGGCTGTTTAAAAGTGTGTTTATGGAGTACCTGTGTAGCAGTTTCAAAAGATGTAAACCGGATCCATTCTGTATGAACTAAGTCTATGGGTACCTATCTACTAATTTCCTTACATGCAGGTTACTACAGGTATTTATATTTCTAGGTCAGTGTTCTCAAATTTGCTTCTCACTTTCATGTGAGAAGCACATGTTCCAGGGATAACAGGAAAAAAGCTGGGCAGAGGGGCCAGAGGACAAAGGAGCTACCTGAACTCCCAGATGTATTTTCCCTGCTGTGGCAATGAGAAGTGGACAAAAATCAAGGGAAACCTCCAATAATGAGATTCTTTACCTGGAAAATTGTAACAAATTTAAAGTTTTCCATATATAGAATCTAATTATGGGGGGTCATCTCATGATCAGAGGTGTATTATATTTGGTAGATTCTACTAACCAGAATCTTCCCAGGCTTATAAAATAGTAAATGATAAAAAGTGGAGATCGTCTTTTTTATCATTTCAGCCAAAAAATACAAAACATTGTGAAGGAAAGTTTTCATTAAACTTTTTGCATATTTTCCTTACCAGAGCTGCTCAATAGGTCCAAGGCCCCAAACGTTATCATGTTTTGCTGTGGGATTCTCATATTACAACAGAAATTCAGACAGATATTTTCAGTCTGAATCTGGAAGAAAGGTTGCAACACTTTTGGTATAGACTTTGCTACTCTGCTCCGGCTCATGGTGCCAAATTAGATTGCTATACTGTATTCTACTGAGGCAATGGTTTAAAATTATTTGGAAAGTGAAGATGGTGCCAAAAGCAGAACCTTGTTTACTGAGTGGGACGTGTTGCTGAGGCCTATGAAACCAGTGCTCTAGGATCGATGGGGGCTCATTATTAGCCCTGGGCTAGAGCTTCAGGTTAAAGGCAGCCTACAATGCCCCAAGGGGACTAGGCCCCACCTACCTGAGAGGCTGCTTCTTATCCCATGATGTACTGCCACAGCTGTGGTCAGCACAGTTGCTTAGCTGATAGGACGTGTCTTTTTCTGTAAAAAAAGAAGGACCCTGGAAACTACTCCTCCCTTGATCCAAAATAGCCTGAATGTGGTGACTTTCCAGAAATGCTACAAAAGCCACCTGTTATAGGGCTTAACAGAGAGGGGAGGATATGATTCTACAATAATGGGAGTAAAAAGGAAATTTCTTTAAAGCTGGCTGACTGAGCTGGACTTGATAAGGTGAGCTATTTATCTTTGTCCTATGTATGCTTCTTTAATGATGCTGAGGCATTATGTTGTACTATTTTAATTGTCAGGTAGCCTATAATATTTGTATAGACATTATTATTTACAATATAATTAAGATGGATGGTAGGATCTTGGATTGTAATCTGGAGCACAGAAGAGGGTGCCAGGCAGTCAACTCACACAGACTTTCACTTGGCTCAGCATGGAGGAGGAGCTCTTTCCACCACTGCATGGCTATGTACGGGCCAAACTTAACTTTCCTAATATGTTAATTTGTCTCATGAATTTCAGTGAAGATCTATGGGATGTAATTACAGACGAAATTGGCTCTCAGTATTTTTATTGTAATGAATTTCTATATTAATCCTATATTAACTTATTTCTTAAGCTGATTTACAAATACTGCTTTAGAAATATTACCTCAATGACATAATCCCCTGGAGATACATTCTGAAGAACACAGCTTGTGATATCAGTGTTTTGTTCCTGTAAATAAACAGAGGACAATATTCCAGAAAACAGTCTCACACTTTTAAAGTCTAATAGAAAATGCACTCACAATAAATATTGTATTGGCCAGTATTGGCCTGGAAATATACTTTGCCACCTGGCATGGGACACTGGAGTTGAGGCCCACCATTATAACAACCTGGCAGACAGCAAGAGAATGAAAACCAGAGATTACAGCTTCCAAGATGAGACATAAGGATATAACTGGACAGAATGACTATTTGTACACTGAACTTCTGTCACTTCGTATTGTTGCACATCCTAACACAAATGAGTCACATTTAATGCAATCTCTAAAACACAACGGCTTTGATTCTCCACTCGCCCACAATGTGTGTAGGCCTTCATGCAATGCAATACTGGTATCAAATATCACCATTCAGATTTTGGCCCATTTCACATGATTGTAACATGATATTAATAACTGTACAAAGTACAGAACAATTTCCTTGCCCCGCCTATCTCATCTTTAAAATATGAAGATAAGCCTAACTATAATCACACAGACATTTTTTGAGCATCACTTCAGATGGATAAGATTTAAAGAGGTAAAATTATGTGGGAATAAGGAGCTTATGAAGTCATATTATAATATAGAATTTTAACATACCATAAACTGTTAAATATGTTTTAATTTCTTCAACAAGCCCATGGCTTACCTGTTTACAAGTCTTTTGTTTAAAAGGTCCTTCATGCTTAAGTTTGTAGTGGAGATAATAATATTTAAACCCAAAGTTGTGAGGTGCATGATCAAAAGATACTTGCATGTTAAAACCTTGCTGAGTAACATTCAGATTCCTTGGCTTCCAGTCTGTTAGAAGACAAGAGATTTACGGACAGGTAGATTACTATTTCAAGAACAATAACAGTTTTGTAACATACATGCATGGGAAAATATTACATTTTACTCACAGGGCTTGCAGGCAAGGTTTTCTGGCTGCAGCAACAATTCACAGGCTACAAACAAATGGAAAAAGAATCTTAATGATAAAATTATAAGTTTTGCTCCAAAAAGTAAAAGGCAAAAAGGAAGCAAAAAAAAAAATAGGAAGCTATTTTATAATTTTGGTTATAGGAGATCCATCATTTAGTAAACTCAGCTCATCTGCCATGACTCAAGTCACCTTCAACTCTTATACACAAAAAAAGGGATCACTTGAAATATTAGTGCTTAACAAGACAGGTACTGGGGAAACCATAATGAGCAAGAGCGAATGAATATAGCCATAACCACTGTATTTATTTGAACTAATAAACATAGTGAGTGCTACTGACAGGATAAAATGCTACTTTAGTCAGCATAACCATAAAGGGCTGAAAAAGTTTAGAAAGCTTATTTATCCTAAAATAATTTTAGAGTATTTTAGACAGAAAAATCCTGAACAGTGGAAGCAAGATCAATGTCAAGATTTTCCAAAAAAAAGTGTACTTAAATTTAGGTTGTTATGCTTACATTTAGCTACTTGCCTCCGTGACCAACATAGCTATTCCAGAATAACCGTTCTCAAATGGTTTTCTGCTAGAGGTGTACCGATACATCAGTCCATATCATATTTGCACTGATAAAGGGAAAATTAACATTAAATCGGTGATCGGCTTCTTTTGTCTGATGTGGCTGATAATGTCGCCAATAAATGCTGCCTACATGGGCACAGCTGCAGCATGCACGTGGCCAGCCCAGCAGCTTTCAGAGAAGTGTCCAGCTGATAAGTCTGTTGAGGGGAAAGGGAAGGGAAGGAAAGGAGTGTGTAGGGTGGTGCAGACTGAGGCCCTGCAATGAAGGAGGGAGTGAGGCTTGGGCTGGGGCAGGTGCTTCACAGCCTGGGTGGGGCACAGGACAGAGCCATAAGTGGCTCATCTGGGGTAGGCACAGGTAGGGGGTGTGAATCCCACTGCTACGTGCACCCCTAGGAGAGCCATGGGGGGTCATGTATCCCTTGGATCTATACATGGGGCAAGGACAGGCTGGGGCCAGGGGCATTGCAGGCTCTTCCAAGTGTGGGGGCTGGGCCAGGGCTGCGCTTGGGGCAGGTGGCAGCGGTACTGGGAGAGGGGCTATGGTGAATTTCGGGGTGGCTGTAACCCACCCCATAACGTCCTCCCTGCCCAAGTACCACTGCTGCCCACCCCAAGCGCAGACCTAGCCCAACTCTCATCCACCAGGAAGAACCTAGCCCCTGCCCCAGCCTGTAGTGGCAGCCCATCCTCACCCTGTGCACAGATCCGAGGGGCATGTGCCCGACATGGCTCCCCTGGGGGTGTGTGCAATGGCAGGATCCACCCCGTCTCCTCACGCCCATCAAACAAGCCTTTTGCATCTCTATCCTGAGCCTTGCCCCAGCTGGGCAGCACCTACCCCAGCACCAGCCCCACTCATCACAGTGGCCTCAATCTGCCCACCCTGCCCTTTCTCTCCCCTGCCCCTTCCCCCACAACAGACTTACTGCCCCATCCCCCTTAGCCAGACACTGCTCTCCAAGCTGCTGGGCTGCATATCGGCAATCAGATCAGTATCAGCTGATTTGGCTCCTTAATAATCAGCCATCAGTATCGGCCCAAAAAATCTTTATTGGTGCACCCCTACTTTCTACTATAATATAGCTATTCCCAAATAATAGCTCAGTGTATATGCAGAATAAAACTACCCCGTCCAGAACAATTACTCTATGTGAGCTAAGTAATAATTCCAAAATAGTCACTTTTACTTTAGAATAAAGTGCACACATTTGGTGAGTAACCTCCATATACCTATGGTGTAATAGTTATTCTGGAAAAGATATGTGAATTTCCCCATATAGGCAAGCCCTAAGGGACCTGAATTTCCAGAGTGCCAACACTACCAAATACCCAGCAGTTCTTGTCGACTTCAATGGGAGTCAGCAAGTACCTTATACTTTGGAAAAAATCAGATCACATATATAGTTACATACATGAAGACTCAGGGTTGTATCCTTAGACCAATTTTTAAAATTGTGACCTCAAATTCAAAACCAGTGGGAACTTATCTGTAACATCCTGCTAGTAACTAGGCTAAAACAGAAGAGCAGAAGTGGTAACTCAGCCTTTACAGGAATGTGATTTTTGCCACACTAGATCAGTCCCATGACCCATTCAGCCCAGTACTCTATCTTCAGCACAGCTAGATCCAGACTTCAAAAAAAGCTGTAAGAAACTGTAAATCTGTTGTCCATGAGGGTTAGCTGCATGCCTCTGCTCAGACTACTTATTTTGTCCATTTCTCTTTGGCAGTTTATAATGTGGATTTTTGTCCACTAGAGACTAATCTGTGGTTTCTAAACTCATTTCACTTACAAATACAGCTGCCCTCCTAAAATGAAATCAGGTGCTATCTTTTCTCAGACATACACCCCCTTAAAACACTTCCTCTTCTGAGTTCCTGACACAAGGTATCTACTTCTGCAGGGGAGAGGCAGAGAAAGGAGGATTGGGAAGATAACTTACGTCGAGTTCTGAAGAAAAACGGGTGGTAGTTACTTTCATTTTTAATGGAAGGAAAAGGAACAATCTTTACAAAATAATCCGTTTCAAACTTCAGATTTAGAAAAGGCTGAGATTCCATTCCCTGGAAAAATAAAAAAAAGACCGTGTTATTTTTAAGTCATTGGTCCTGGGCATTTAAAAATATATTCTCTCAAAGCAAGCCCATAGTTCTCCGGGACACTAACAGAAATTATGTTATTTGGGACGTGGGCAGACAAATGATTACAGTGATCCACTTTAACTGTTTCACCTATCTGCTCTATTCCACTCTAAATGGAAGCTAAAGCATTGTAACTTTAAACTTGTTTCATTCAGGTATATAGTTACAGGGGTTTGGCTCTACTATACTGGTACAAGAGAGGACAGACTATACAACATAACTGGTTCACCTGCTGACAAATGCTCTGGAGAGCTTATGTTCCCCTTTATCCTTCTACTGTATATTGGTTTAGAGCAGTGATTTCTAAAGGGTGTGCCATAGGAGTGGCAGAAATGTGTTTCCAAAAATGTGCTGGAGGGGACACCATACAGGTCAGCCCCACGCACTGGGATCAGGCTCATGGACCAGATCCAGTCTGCAGACTTATGAGTCAAGTGTGTTGCCATTTTTAATTTAGAAAGAAATGCATTCCACTTAATAAAAATTTGAGAAACACTGGTTTAGAGAGATATAGTTAGCTGTGTCCGTGGCGATACACAGGGGGTGCACGTGCAAGAGCCAGCTGATTGCTGCAAGTGCTCCCAGAAGCAACCACAGCCACAGCCACCCCCGGAAGTGGCTTCAGCAATTGGCTGTTGCAGGATCGACTGCAGGGGTCTCGCCAGGCAGCAAGACTGGCTGTGGGCTAAGGCAGCACCAGTTGCCCATGAGCTTTGTTAATCTGAATTGGGCAGAAAACAAGACTGGCACCTTAGAGACTAACTGGTTCAAAAAGGTAAATTGGTTTACTGTAAGACCAATACAGACATTAGGCAGCATTTGGCCACTTCCACTATCTATGCACTGCCAAGCAGGAGGCCCCAGACAGCTGCGTTCTGCACTGCTGTAGGGATACTATCATAGAAAATTAGGGTTGAAAAGAGGTCATCTAGTCCAACCCCCTGCTCAAAGCAGGACCATCCTTAACTAGATTATATTCCAGCCAGGGCTTTTTGAGCTCGGCCTTAAAAAAACTCCAAGGATGGAGAGCCCACTATTTCTCCAGATGCACATCTACTGTATAATGTAGATTATACAGTAATCTACATTATACAGGGCCCAGACTAAGGCCCTCACTGAAGTTAAATCACTGGTTCCACAATCAGGAGAGCCTCTGTAGATAGGAAGGAGACTAGATTTGTCCTGGAGTTAATAATTAAGAATATATATATATATTTTAGCACGCGAACTGTTCTACACTAAAAATCTTATCAAAAGAAAGGTTTAATAATATATGTAATATCACACTGCAGAATCAGACAAACAAAATATTTCTACGTGCATCACTTACATTTCTTTTAAAGCTGGAGTTGAGCTGCTTTGGGTCTTTTAAAACCATTTGTTGACATTGTCTTCCCTCTGATTTTAACTCCTCAAGTATTACTCTAAACCCTTTCAGAAATTCAATCCCTGCAAACACAAAGGCATTTAATGGAAAATTCCAAGACACATTTCACAAGTTTTGATATAATTTAAACATATTACAATTGTCCTTACATAAATCATTCCTCACCATCCTTTTTTATGCTCACATTAAATTATTTTATCCCTTAACATCTGTCAGTTGCATGTCAATTCCTCTTTTCTCCCACATTTTCCATTTTGACTACTTTCAATTTAAGCTCTTCTGGGCATTCACTATGCATCTGTACAGTGCCTAGACCTAAAGAGGCCTTCCTCTCAGCTGGGCACCCTAAGTGTTACCACAATACAAATAAAATCATCTGCAGCACCATCTGTAGTAAAATGCTACACAGTATTTGTTTTATATGGTCATTATTACCAGTAAAAGAACAATAATGCACTTGTTTACAAATCCTGGAAATGTCCCTACTGTGTTCTTCTCTTATGTGAAACCATTGGACTAAAGTGGTCGGTTGCAATAGTGATGACCTTTTTAGTTCTATCTAATATAACGGGATAACAGAAGAACTGGCAACAGAGGAATGACTCCTTATTCATACCAATGAATACTTTCCATTATCTATAAATGGAACCAGAACTGTACCCATTCTACTCAAGTAACACACAATTAGCTTTTAGCACTTGTACATGAACCAGAATGGATTAGTGCAACTGTATAGGATATGTTTAAAAACCCCAAATGCATGCTTTTCCATGAACCTTTTTTTTTTCCTCCAAATATAAAAAAGTTTTAGAACCTGTACAAGAGAAAGGTCCATGGCCTGACCAACATGTTATTAAGATTCAGTGGAACAAAAGCACTGCTTATGCTAGCTTGAAGACGATGAAAGAGAAGTGTCAGGTCTCCCCGTCACCTGAGATCCTTCAACTGCAGTCCTGTCTTGATGCTTTCAAAAGCATTAACCTCTGATCATTACAAGAGAGAACACCAAGCTTTTTATTCTGTAGCTATTTAATTCAGTCAGGCTGCAGCTGTAGATTACCAAATTCAGCAGCACTACACTTTTGAAAGCTTTCAGTATCATTCCCTTATTCTTCCTTAATATCTGCTAACTAATCATTATTTTATATCATAAATGTAGTTATTCAATTTAGGTATGCCAGCATGATTTAGTGTGCAAAAGTGACTAAGAAGCTCTGGGGAAGGTTTTTTTTCCTTTCTAAAACTTTTTGAGGAGACTCAAGTAACATATGAATTCAGCCTGGTATGGACATTCTATATCAACTTGTGCTATACTGAGGTTATTTAAGGGCCCAAATCAACTTCTACTGCAGTCACTGACTTCAATGAGAGTAGAACATGTTTACTAATTCTAGAGTTAAGATTGTGTCACTGTGTTCATTATATTTAGCACTATAATGGTCACTGTGACCATCATTGACTCCTTTATTCCAGGATTTGTAAGTATAGGATTTTGTTTTGAAGAATAAAGAAAAAAAGAGTCTTTAACTTTTCAGAAGACTGGCTGTTTTTACTGTTGCATATATTAAAGACCCAATCATAATGACTTGAGGCTTTTAATTTTATTTGTAAACACTTGATCCAAATGAAGAGTCTACCCTTTAAAGAAGAAAAGACAGACTGGAACGGTGGTACTGAAGACATACAGTAATTACTGTCATGATAGTCTGACATATTCATATTCACTCTGCAATAATCCATAGTACAGATTAATCACAATACTAAACAGGAGTTATGCTGTATGACTGAAGGATACCAAAAGGCTCATCAGGCATTTCTATATAAAGTTCATAAACAATTATTTACATTACTACACCAATCTTAAGCATTGAGGATCCAGTTCCATTAAGTTAATGAGCATTTTCAGCTGTAGATTACCGTGATATTCTGAGAAGTAACATTCTCAATTCTGAGAAGTAACATTTTTTTTAAAACTTTGAGACAGTTTAACAGTGTTGAAATTCTGATGGAAATGTAGAGAAGTAATGAGTGAAGAAAGCATTTTGGGCTGCTCTACATGTACACGGTGCCTGCTCTGACACACTGGAAATCCAGTGCGTCAGAGCAGATTCTAAATCAAGTCTGCTGGAGCATGGAGATTGACATGCTCCAGCAGCCTTCCGCATCACATGCATCAGCATCCCAGTGCGTCTCCGCACTGAAAAATGGCAGTGGGGCACTTTGAAATAAAACACATTCAATGAACTTTAGTTCAAAGTTCCCAACAGCCATTTTTTCAGCACAGGAATGCTGGTGCATGCGACACAGAGACGCTTTTAATTAGAGCGGCTCGCTAATTAAAGCATCCAGCATCATGTCCCACAGCACGTGTAAAAATGTCCTTTCATTCTTAATTTTGAACTTTTTTCATTGGGTATTGCAACCTTCTTTTTTCTTTTTTTTTTTTTAAAGGCATACAGTATTCATTTTTAAGTTTTGTTTTCTTTGCTGAAGCAGGAAAATATTTTAAAAGAAATTACATTACTGTCTTTATTAGCCAGACACATATTTCTAAAGAAAACAAGCATGTGTATACAATTTATTTTGTTCAGAACCTTAATTAACATGAGACAAAAAGATCTGCAAGGGTAAGTGGGGCATACAATTTTGCTCAGTGCAGAGGGAGTGTCCTTTAGTGAACACCAGGAACATTAAACTTTGCATTTCTCAGATATAAAGTATTTGACCGGAGGCCACTGTGAGCAATCAGGTACGATACTAATGATCCATGGCTTCGAGGTTACACATGTCTGTGATTAAAGAATAACCTTTTCCATTTGTATAGAAGCTTTTCTCCCATGGGATCCTCAAGTACTTCAGCAATTACCCATTCAACACAACTGAAGTTATGTACAGATGTTCAGTTTCTCCAGGGAGAGTTGCTCTTCTTCTAGGCGAAACCACAAATGTGTAGATGTTCATGATTTTTCTCCCAGAGCACAAATAGCTGTTCTAGGAGGAAAATAACTTCGGAACAACCTGAGTGTAATGGCTTCTGCGAGATTCTCTCTCAGAAGATAGAACATCTGTACAGGTACCAGCTGCAGAACAGTCCTCTAGAAACCCAGTAAGCTTTGACTTGCCCTTCCCCCCGTCCCATGGATCCAGAGAGACAGTAGGCATGTCTACACAAGAAGCTACATCACCATAGCATCTCCAGACATGAACCATGACAGCAACACTACTGTGCAGTAGTAATGGACCACTGCACAGTAACTCGTTGCTCCTGTGCAGTAGGATCTAAAAGTAACCGTGCAGTGAGAAGACTGCATAGTCATCTAGTACTTGGTTAAGCAAGTACTAAACTGTGCAGGAAGAACTGCACAGTCAGCCACTCATGTAGACATGGCCGCTATGTCAGTCCCAGCCAAGATGGGAACAGAACGCTACACTCCCTAAATACTACAGGCTGGAAAAGCCCAGAACCAAAGCACATAGGGACCAAGTTCTTCTCCCAGTTTTTTCAGCCACAGCCAAACCCAAGCCCATTGTGGACTCACATGAGCCAGGCTCCATTCAGGCGAGTAGCACTGGCTGACCCAGACCCCCACACCTGGACCCAGCAGACCCCAGCGCCCAGATTGCAGCACTTGGTGCTGAGAAGTGTAGCTCCCTGCCCATCCACAACAGGCCTGAAACATGCCACAAGAAATTCATGGCCAGACAACTCTGGCCATGAGGAAGGAACAGACCTCCCACCACCTTCCTGTCACTGACTCAGCAAACCCCACACCCCCCCTTCACTGACCCAACAGACTTTGCACCCCACCCCACCCCACCCCCAGACTACAGGATTTGGTGCTCTAGGTGCTCCTTGATAGTCAGCACCACAGGCTCTCTGCTGCTCAGCTTTTGTACAGGGTTCTCTGGATAAGTTTTTCTACCAGGAGAACAACCTGGGAAAATTTTCCTAGATCATTTGAATGTGTGTACACAGCCTAAAATACAACACATTGGTGCAGGACACAAAAACAGACACAGACACTTTGCAAAGTAAGCTGCAAAACACGGAAGAGAAAGTGATAGTTTTGCAAAGAACTCAGGTAGTCATAAGAAGGTGATTTTTAAAATGATAGCCGATGGACTATTAACAAAAGCTGTTTTTCAAGGTACTTTAAATTATTATTGATCCTCCTGAGATTGCTATCAAAGAAAGGAGTTAAAATTTGTTCTCTACTACTTACCCAGGGCATTTGCTGTCCACAGAACTAGAACTGCAACTTGTTCATAACAGGCATACTGGCTGATTGTTATATTCTGCACATCACCAATGACATGTTTTCCCACTGAATTCAAATAAGGAGTACAGTCTAAAATGAGAAACAGAAATAAATTTAAATAAAACATAGTAACTGATGTTTAATTGTGGGGAACCTAATAATTCATCAGACAAAATTTGGCAACATTTTTTTCATGCATTTAATGCTCTCTCATTCTGAACATTATTAACACCTTCATAATGCATAGGGTGAATGCAACCAAATGAAACCTTTTAAATCAGAGCCAGAACACTGATTTTTATTGTGTGCTGGCTTCTTCATTATCAACATATATTATACATTACAGAAAACTTTCAGTCTTGATATAGATGATCTCTCCCCAGTACTCCAGAACTTAAATGTCTCCTTTGTGTACATCATTTACGATGTCACCAGTATTCTAAATTAACACTTGTCATTGGTTAATACCAGTTCCTGGTGCTAGAATTAATGGAAAAAACATGACAGTTGCTGAGATTTAAAGAGGCTCCATTGTGTAAATTACAGGCGAAGGTCTCTGCTCTAAGATTATTTCACAGTACCATAGTTGTTAGGGGCTGGAAGGGTCCAGCCCCCCTGCACTTGGGCAGGAAAGACCGCTGGGGTCAGATGATCCCAGCAAATTTCCTGCTTTTCCTTCTTCAGTTAACACATCACTATCTTTGAACCAGACTAAATGGAGGCTTGTTCAGCACCACAAGGTTTAGAGCAAAAACCAAAGTGAAAGAGCTGGTTCTGAGAGATCTCCTGTTTGTGAATAATGCAGCTTTGGTTGCCCACAGTAAATCTTCCCTGCAAAATCTCTTGGGCAAATTTTCTGAATCATGCAAGAGCTTCAGGATGGCAATTAGTCTCAAGAAGACTGTGATAATGCACCAAGGGATGAAAGAACCCCTGCTCTGACGTCACTGACAGTACCCGACATCACTCTGAAGGATCACTCTCAGTATTGCTGACAGTTTTTGCTATTTGGGTTTTACAATTAGCAGAAATTTTGACCTTCAGATGAAAACGACCAACAGAATTGGAAAAGCAGCTAAGAATTTCAGGCTATTAGAGAAATGTGCATAGACTAACTGTAACTATCAGCTAAGGTAAAGATATGCATCTACAAGACTTATGTGCTGTCATCCCTGCTTTATGGTTCAGAAGGATGGGCTATGTATACTAGACATATCAAGAGACTGAACAGCTCCCACATGAGATGTCTGCATAAGATCCTCAAAATAAAGTTGGAAGACAGAATACCAAACAGAGGTACTGAAGCATGCAGGACTGACACACTTAGAAACTACTACCAAGAAGAAAAGGTTGTGATGAATTTGGCCATGTTAGGAGAATGGGAGAAAAATATTTTGTATAGTGCAATTCAAGACAGTTCTAGAAAGCAGGGTTGCCCTCTATGGCAGTACCACGATGTGTGCAAAAATGATATGAAGTCATTCAATATCAGCATAGAAAGCTGAGAGGAGCACGCAGAATCCTGTCCAATCTGAAGGGAACATTTGGCACTGGGTGCAGCTCAACATGAAGCAGCTCTGATCCAGAGGATGGAAACAAAGCAAGAAAGAAGAAAGCAGTATGCTGTAAACTTGGACTCCAACTCAGACATCACATGGATCTGTGAAACTTGTAACAAGCCATGTTGCTCTCGAGTTGGGCTTGTCAACCACAAATAGACTATCAGGCATCTGACTAGACCTCTTGCGTGTAAACCATGATCCAGAGGATCGATGGCTGTGTACTACAAACACATCATATACTTCTTCTAGTGATTGTTTATTCCATGTAGAATCTGATAGGTGTAAATCCAGCTGTCTTTCTTTAAGAACTAATGTAAGGTTAGATAGATAACAGAAATTCAGGATAAAGAATTAAACATTTAAAAATGCCAACATAAAACAAAGGACTCACAAATGTCACTAAGAATAAGCTAAGATATACGGGAATAAAGCAAATATATTACTTTCACTGTTTTCAGTAAGTTCTCTAGGCTTTAATATATTAGACCTTTGCCCCAATTCCAACAAACAATGGCCAGTCCCTGATGCAACAAGGATAGCTGTAATTTGCATAGATGGAGTTTATGCTTCACTGCCATAAATGGGAGCTTGTTTCTTATCTGAAGGTTGAGTTTACAGTGGTGCTATCATTTGGTGACTGGCCCATGCCCACCAAAATAGGGATGAATTCCCAGTGTAGACACAGCCCTAGATACTTAATATATCCAAAAGATATACAATACAAATTACGGCACATGCAAGAACTAACCAAAACAACATTCAGACACTGAAACCTGTTTTCAGAACCACTGAAGCAAACAAAAAGCATATATGGTAGAAACTAAACTAGATTAAAAATATTTCAGATTACACAGACTACGTTGTTATTACTAATACTTTTTTAAACTTTTAATCATTTTTTGTGCAAGAATGAGAGAGGGCTATTTATTTTTAATGTCATTTGTTATTTGTGGTGCATGTAGGTGATCAACTTACTGTCATATTTAAAGGTGATATTAAGCAGCCCACTGTTCTTGTTGACTGGAGAAAGTCCCTATAAAGAAACAACAACAACAACAACAACAACGAGCCTGAATGAAGACTTCCTTGTTCCGAATTTATGCAAACATTTCATTTTTTAAGTATTTCAATGACCACATCCAAATAAATGTCTCGTATGGAATTTTGTGTTGGGTTCACCAATCTGAATACAACCAAGGAAAAAGCAGATAGCAGAACTTCTGTAGAGTCCTGAACTTTTCAGATATACCTAAGCAACAAAATACAGAGAAATAAGGGTCAGAATAATCTCAGCATTAAGAAAAATAGTTTAAGATGGACATACTACATAGACACACAGCATAATTTATTTTTCAAATTGAAAAATCACACCCCCAAGTGCCCTCATCCCCACTTTGCTGGAAAAATGGGATCTATACAGACCATCAACCAGGAGTTGGGATGGTCAGAAAGTGACTCATATTTATCTTTATAGATCATATAAAGTGCAACTAACTAGGCTCTAAATCATGAAACTCAGAGCAGGCAAACAAGTATAGAGAGGAAAGAGACTGCCAGGCTCTCCTGACACTGATCATGATTTCTCACACCCCAGGACAGAGAAACCAGAACAAAGCATGTAATTTCTGAACATAAAGGGATATAAAGAAGAGAATGAAAGCAGCTGCAGTAGATTGCTATCCTGGTACATTAGTAGCATGTTCTTAGTGAAAGCAACTTTCAGAACAGAAATCAAAACTAGGAGGTAATATGAAGAGAATTACTTCTGAAACTGGAAAATTGCACTACAAAAATTCCTCTGCATCATACTAATCAACTGAGGATAGAGCCAGGCGCACAAAAGGTGTGGCAGATTTTATTCATCTTCTTTCTTCTTCTTGCTTATTCATCAAGTAAGCGAAACCATCAAGGTTTCAGCATGTACAGAATTTCCTAGCAGGCAAATCAAACCAGCTTTGAAAAAATGTTTAACTCTACACCATTCAGTGCTGGAGTCATACCATTCTCAGGAAAGGTGCACAGAGAACAAAGTACAATCTAAAAACAGGTGTAAGAAGATAAACAGGATTGCATATCTACCCACACTGACCATCAACATCTCAAACCCATTTTAGAGGATTTTTAAAAACAGATTATCAGTGTAAATTTCATAATGTTTGAGATAACCTGCTCTGTCACTTAGTTCTTCAGAGACAAAGGTACTTAACCTTGGTAAACACTTTTGTGCCTGGTATCAGTTAAGCAGATGTCATACTTTTAAATTATTAATGAGTTTAAGCGATTTATGGTTTTCATTATTTGCTTGTCTATATGGCAGTAATATGTAGAGACTCCATACGTGTTCCATTATTTTAGGCTCTGAGCAAATATATAAGAAACAGCCTTTGCCAAGATGAGCTAATTTGATGTGATCCAAACAAGACAAAAATCATTTAAATTCTACATCCTCTATTGGTTGGAAGATAAAAATTCACAATCTATTAAGAACAGATGAAACACAATTATCACCAAGACCCATTCTGGTTGAAACAGGTTTTGTATCCTAAAACTTTCTACTAGAGATGCATTTTTAAATATCCATTAAAATATATCAGATACTAATTGTGCAAATCTAAAAATCTACTTTTTTCATTTTGTTTCAGAGGGCTACATTTCAACAGAAATTGCTCTTTACTTTGGTACTTGGGATACCTATAATTGCTCATAAAAACGGTTTAAGATTTTATTACTGCCTCTAGGCAATACTACAAGTTAACCATCTGTACTCTTAAAATAGAAGTAAGTCCTGCAGTAGACTGGTGCTTTAATTATACTAAACTAACAATTGTACAGGGTTACCCTTATGGTCCCTACCCTTTTTATCTAGCATGCTGCACTTTACTTGCTGCATATAAATAGTCTTTTCTTCAAATGTTAATGTTTTCTTCACAATTAGTATTAATATGCAAGTTCTACACTCTCTCACAGTTATATCACGTTTTAAGGGCTAAACGAGATCTAACTAAATTCAAGCAAACATTGAAAATATCTCCCAAATAACTAAGTGAAGTATCGAAATTATGGGCCTACCTTACCCTGTTATGCTTAAGTGAAAGGATTATAACTATTCATTTTAATGTAATAAGGCTCCCATCCTAGCAAATATGTGAGAGTAAGTATCTAATGTACAGTTGCAATATTGAGTTATAACGTGATCTATCATGGTTGCTTTCACTCATGATTGTCTCTAAGCTCTGGCGTGAATGACTAAAAAAATGAAAAGCAGTGAAGACTTTTACAGGGTGTGCTTGTTATCTAAATCAAAATCTATACAGATGTGTGCATGTGTGTACAACTGCCATAGTATATAAATATCTTTAAGCGCTAGGTCTACGCACAGTATTGAAGCAATACTATCAAGTTCTTGATATCTCACTGGCTTCAATATAGTACTAGAATGGAAAAGTTATGAGAGACTAAAAAAATAAAGAACTGAACTTTGCATTGTAAAAAATAGTATTGCAAGGCTTTTTTTCCCCAGTTATGTAAATATGTGTTCTACACAAAAAGTGAAGCGTATCCATACCACCTTAGCTGCATTTACTTAAGTGGTTAATTACAATAAGACTATTTGCAAATACAGTGATGATTCTGGGGAAGAAAGTAATAACTAAAAATGAGTTAAGTCCAGTTTATTAAATCTGATATGCCTTTTTCATAAGGCCTTTTCCAAATTTGCCTAGAGTTTTTCCAAAACCCTCACAGCCCTAGCCTGGATCTAATAACAGCAGTATTTGCCTCCCAGCCAATCAGGAGCAAGTGGTAGGACTGCCAGGGTCCTCAACTATCAGCAGTGGGCAGAGTGTGTGGAGCAAAAAAAGTCAGAATTTAAAAAGTCACTATGCAGTGCACTTCCAGTGTGATTTGGGTAGATTCCTACCTATAGCTTTTGGGGGCACAAAAACTGGTTTTTGCCCATGTCCTCAGTTTTCTTCACCAAAAAGCCTCCTCTCCATTACTGGAGAACATTATATCATTAACCAGCTGGCTGCCCAGTCTAGCTCTGACACAGACAGTAATCTACATGGATTTTTTTCAGCCAGCCAACGCCACTGCACTGTTAAAGAATGCATATTTTAGGTCCTTATGTCTCTATATTGATTTGTTCCTTATAAACCATATCGTATAACTTGAGCTATGGAAATCAGGACTGAGATGCCCCATGTATTTTAATAATCTTTAAAATCCCTTTTTGAAATCTGACTAGATCCCACATACCTATATATTTGATATATTACTCTATATTATCACTGAAAATAGTGAAAGGGTCGGTTAGTCAGTTGGTGAACTCTACTTGCTACTATAATAAAAGTACTACTGAACCAAAAGAGAGGGTCAGTAATCTCTCTGCTTGAACGCATTCACTCTTAATGGTAGTGGGTGCATTTAACAAGATTGATTAGCACCAAAAAATAACTTAGTGGTATCAAAAAAATTTTATAGAACACCTTAAAATTTCATTTACGAGCAATATCCAAATAAAATCCAGGAAATAACAGAAAAGAATAAAAGCAGATGCAGGGCATGGCAAACCACAACCAACACTAGGCCAATTAAAATCAACAGCTCACAGGCATAAAAGTGAAGTCAAAGGTCCTCCTGAGCCTAATGGTCCATTGTGCTAATGTGGTTGAGGCACATCAGCTTCTGTTACAAGTGGCAAACAACAGAGTGCCAGCCTCACTCCCATCTGCCTTTGACTCTCCAGCCTGAATGGCCAGGTACCTATTTACAACTAAGTCATGGGGGCTTAAGCGCAAACACTTGGGGTGGGGCGGGGGGGGCAGGTTAGATCATGTTCAAAATGGCCACCTGATCTAACTTAGTTCACTCCAGGTGTGGACCTTACAGTTCAACTCTGTCTCAGTAACTGGAAATCAATCTAAAGTAAAGTAACTGTACAGAAGTTCCATGCACACAGACCAGCCTAAAAATTGCAGAACCTATCTAAGGCCTGGATCAATGCAGAATCAGACTTACTCAATCTAGGTTAGACTGGGCAATGGATTTTTTGTACAGTTACCTGTGCATCCCCAGGGCTGAGAAAACCCAGCTGCTGGCTCTAGCCCCAGAGCTGAGCTTTTCACACCCCACTTGCCCAACACCAGGCTATTTTTAACCCCCTAACGTCTCACCCCCCGGACCAGCCATGCCCCAAAGCCCCCTAACCCCACCATCCTACACACCGCTCCAGCCGCTGCTGGATTTATCAGTATTTGCTGCTGCCGGACCTAAGCAAGTATCACTGGGAGGGAGGGGTGGGAAAGATGGGGGTAGGTTCACCAGGGTGGGTCAGGGAGCTAAAAATAGCCTCCAACTCCCACCCCCAAGTTCCCCTA